AGTGCCCTGATGGCCACATAAGCCCCTTCTCTATGAGCACGGTTCTGCCCTATTTGGTTTGGATCTGTTCAATTCTGCTCAGGTATGTGTGTGTGTGTCTCACTCTGTGGGTGTGATTATGGGCAGATTGTCTGCAGTGGCTTTATCCAGTGGTGGGCAGCACTAACCCAAAAATTAGCTCCGCAATTTCTAAAGCGCTTATGAAATTATTTAGGTCCACATCTTCAAAAACGCTTATGCCATAGAGAAAATAACAGAAGCTAATTTTAAAGTGCAAGTTCAATTTGACACTTACTAGTTGGCAAAAATTCATGTACAATATATGTACAACACTGCTGACTAGCGGTGTAAGAACCCTTGTACAGCTTAATCCTGCAAGCACTGATTGCTGGGGATGTGATTTCCTGAAACAGAACTTTGGCTCCTGGTGTAACAATTAAAAAGTTGTTGAGGATTGTTAGTTCGGCTGATTCTTTAAAATGTTGTTGAGGATTGCTACTTTGGCTGCTTCTTTGTCTTTTTCTTTTGTTTATTGTAGATTTTTCATTAAAGAAGCATCAATAACGCAATTTTAAAACTGTTTATTGGAAAACTGAAGCAATGCCTTCTGGGTACATGACAGATTTGATTTGTGACGGGAAACAAAAGTTTTCCATTTAGTTGCTCCAGTTGACCACTAGATGTCGGTCTAACCCCGTTGGTGGATTGCTTTGACCAATTACATCAAGTATAAGAAAATCCTTACTTAACTCCTGACAGAGAAACAGAAAAGTGATGCTCGAACAAAAAGGATCTATTTTTTTTTACCTCCTTCAATTAGTACTCCCTGTAACGTGCGAGCTATGAGGGGTGGAAACCTGCACAGTGAGAGAACTACAGACTTAAATAACTTTGGAGCATGGGAGCTTGTCTCCATTTAGTCAAATAACTCTCCTCTCTTTTTCTCCTTACAGGGGAGGAAAAAGAAAACATAAAACTAAAGTCAAAGCACACAATATAAAACTCTCTTACAAAAAGTTACTTATGATGGTGCAGTATCACAGATCTCCAACAACTATTTCAAACCTCCATCTCTGTGCAGCATGCAGGATGGTGTCATCTGTAGGTGCTTGCCCTCACTGGTCCAGACTGCCAGCTCCAGACCATTCAAAGAGTTCCACCTGTTCACCACTTATAAAACAACACACACACACACACACACACACA